CCTCAAAATAAGCAGTAATAGCAACACAAATGTACACTGTCGCAGAGCACTATGGTGCTCTGCTCCTATAAAGAGTGGAGGTGTGTAGCAGGGCACTGAGGTGCCTGCTACTTGTGGAGCAGCCAGTAAGGAGCCCAGCTGCTGGTTACCAGGGCAGCCACAGTAGTAATAAAGAAGAATAGCTGTGGTTGCCAGGAAAACCAGTGAGTCAGCTGACCGGAAGGGGTAAGGCTTGGCTCCCATTTAAACCCAGGCTGAGCCATAGGGGTGGGAATTCTGCTGCAGTGGAGGAAAAGGAAGAGGCCAGGATGCATGGGCAGTTGTTACGGGTGAGAGAGGGAGAAACCCCGTGACAGACTTGAATATGGTTACAGCCAGATGGCTTAATTTATATTGCAGCCTAGGGGCTTGAGCTTTCTGTTTGTGACTAGAAGACTGGGTGAGGCTATTAGGGGTTGGAGGAGGCTTCATAGGGGCTCCATGGTAGTGTGGGGACCCTGGTGCCAGAGAGGGCGTAGCATTTGGGGGTGCACTGACCCCAGCCCTAAGAAGGGGAGTGGAGAATCGGAGGCCAGATAAGGCTGAGGCTGCCTGAACCCCGAAGGGGGTTCGAGACCCTGAGGAGGAAATTTGGGGCCAGGCATGGCTATGGCCACTTGAGCCCCAAGGCTGTAGTAACCCCAGAGCAAAGGGGGCAGTGACTGATGAGTGCCTGGGGGGCACGCTTGCGAGACAAGGGTGCAGAGAGCCCGAGCGCCAGAGGGCGTGGTGAGAGATGGGGGCTGCAGAGAGGGCGCAGGGCCAGACAGACCAAACAATGTCCGGGATATCAGTGAGGCTTGGGGCGTGGTAAAGGAGCGGTTGGAGCCATGCATAGCCCATAAGGCTAGGGTGCCCAGAACCCCATTATAGAAGCGAGATGCGGGGTAGCTAGAGCACCGTGACCAAGAGGACTGAAAGGCAGCCTGCTATTTTATTAGTCAGCATGGCTCATCCTTCACTATTATTAAGACGGCCTGAAAGGATGTTAAATCAGAATATTTCATATACTACAGCAAACTTTTCCAAGATTAATATGAATGCATAAACATACTTACAGAGAATCTTCTTGTCTTAAAATACTGGAGTTATCTTCATGTGCCGAAGAACACACTCTCTTGTTCTGTGGGCAAAATAGATCTTGCTGTATGAAGTGGTAATGTATCATACTAGCAGTAAAGAGGGACACCTTTAAACCAGAGGCATCAAATTCCTTGGCCCCACAAACTGTATTTAGATAGCAGGGTGGCTCCTCACAGGCCAGATCTGGACCCACCACCTTCAGTGGCAAGACAAATGACAGCAATATTAATTGTTATGAGCTCCCGAATCACAGGGATTAATACTCCTGTTGCTTCCACCAATGGGGCTCCATATACAAGAAGTTAGCAAGGGACTCTGCCCTAAATTCCCAGTCCCTCCAGGAGCCTTTCTGGGGCCAGATAATGTGACTCCATAGGGTGGATCTTTGACAACCTTGCTTTAAGCCATTTGTCTGAAAAATATTATATGCATTACAGTTAATAATCACTCATTATTATAAGTGATAGAAATAAAAAGATTTGCTCTGTGCATTTAATAGCTACTTGTTGGTAGTCAATTGTCCCCTTTTTTAAATGAGTAAAACATTAAGATGAGCACCTACTGTTCTATAGGAATTCTTAAAAAAAAAAGAAAAAGAGAATATACAGATTTAGAAGGTCTGTAGCAGATATTGACATATCCTAAAGTCAATTTTGAAAAAAAGTTATGTTGAAGTGCTCTCACAACAGTATTTCCTTTTTGGTTATAAATATAGTAGTATAGTGCCATTCTTTTCAAATCCCTTTTGGTAAGACTTCACAAAGTCATAAGCTTAGACATGTATGTTTTTAAGCAAAAAAGTATTAAATCTCAAGTCAGGTTTTAGTAACCCAGTAGTTAAAAGAATAATTTATGAATTGTTGTAGGACCTTTACTGTTATCTAAAAGCTGGCAGAAAAAGTAACAAATCTGGGCCAAATATGGCACAGAGACTCTAAAACATGCATGTCCCTTCAGAAATTTTTTTTATAAATGACAGAGTGGAGCGATAGATGTGACATCTTCACAGCTAAATATTGTCAGTCTTCTGTCCCCTAAAATTAAAAGAAAAAAAGAAGGTAGCCTCTATAGTTTACTAACATGTAAAAAATGTAGAGTCTGGACTAAGGTATGCCTTTAATAACCCTAAGTAATTGCATTGCCTTATTTACTGTACTGCCAGCATCTCACTTTCCCTCCCTGATGGGAGGATTTCAGGTCTATAGTATTAAGTCATTTAGTTTGATGTATCACACTGATATACTTAGGCAAAAAGCTCTCCAGCTTAATTTTCTGAACAGTATCAAACATCCAGTTTGTGTTTAGAAAGAGTGGGATTTTTAGAAGTGCTTAAGCTGCTTAAGCGCAGAAGTTCTATTGAAAGTCAGTGGGACTTCTGCTCTTAGATCACTTTTGAAAAAAATCCTAAGGAAAAAAAGCCCCTCACAATCTTCTACAATATATTTAAATGTGAGGGAGGGGAAAAAATACAGAATGGACTTACTAGAGCCATGAAACACAAATCTTGTGCAGGACGAAGAAGGTCAGCTGTGTCCAAGAGTTTCTGAGCAACTTCAGAAATAATCTTGCTCAAAGCTGACAGTTTAGTCTAATGAGAAAGAAAGAACAAACAATTTTATTACGTTTGGCAAGCCACATAATAGTCCCTCTATTACGATTGGATTTTTAAGTATATAACATTATAGCAAAGTTGCACCAAAATTTCTTTTTTCCCCCTACAGTTAGAGAGAAATGGTCCAAAAAAAGTCATGTCAAATTAAAAAATAAAAAATAAATAAAAGGGTCTTATGCCAAATTTTTCATGAAAACATAAATTCAATTAATGTTTTGGATTTTTTCTTAGAAATCTGAAAATATAAAAAAATAAAAATCATACTTCCCCCCCATCTACTATACTGTACCATACTGCTACTTACTACTACCATGCTAAGGTGAGTAAAATGACTAATAAATATATGCAACTAAAATATGAAACTGAAGAGGGAAGAGACTCCATAAATGAGGATGAAGATATAACTATCGTAAAAATAAGGTAATAAAACACAATGGCTTTTAATATTTGATTCAAATTAATATTTAACACTAGCTCAATGACTGAAAGTTAATTAAATGACGATAAAACAGGATGGCGAAACAAAATGTGGCCAGAAGGAAGACATATATACCTAACAAGACATCTCAAGATTTAGTTAATTAGCTCTGAACAATTCCATTTAAATAAATGAAATCAGCTTTTTATACAGAAGCCTAAATACAGATTTAGGAACCCAGTTTTGGCCATCTGTTTCTGAAAAACTTGACTATTTAACTGAATCCAGGCATACTTGCTATAATTCAACTCTGGGTGTTATATTTTATTTTCATAGAAATATATTTAATTTAAGCATTTCTTAGTAAACTGAATAATTTATTTTAATACAAGTTTGACTAATTCCGGTATACATTGTTTGTGTAAATATGGCTCCAAGGAAAACATTTGCTAAATTAATTACCTGTACCAGGGGTCAGCAACCCCTGCCAATTTTGTTTAGTATGGCACAGCTGGTCTGGGCTCTGGACAGCTGCCACTGGCCACAGAGGCAGTGCTGCTTGGTCAGGAGGCTGCAAGCCCTGCTGCACAGAGCCCAGGCCAACTGTGGCTGGCAGCTGGGAGGTTGCGAACAGCTGCACTGGGCTCCAGAGCCCCAGCCAGGCTGCATAGTGGCTGCATGGTCTCTGGGAGAGCAGCGGGGGAGGGGCCAGGGCTCCACTGCTCGAGGCCCCTTCCCAGCCCTGAGTGGAGGCATACGTGCAGCTGCCACGGCCACAGAGCCCAGCCAGGGCTAGGGGGCCTGTTGCAGCTGTTTGCAGCCTCCCAGCTGCCTGCCACAGCTTGCCTGGGCTCTGGGTAGCAGCAGCAGGCAGGTTGCAAACAGCTGCACTGGGGTCTAGAGCCCTGGCACCAGCTCTTTGACAGCTGCACGCACCCCTAAGGGTGCATGGCCAGGAAGGGGCCTGGATCAGCACAATCCCAGCCCCTCCCCTGCTATCAGCCTGAAAGCATGTATGCAGCTGCTGCCAGCAATGAGAATCGGGTCCCTCCTGGGTCCTCCACCACCTGTCTCACCAAGTTGAGGTGTGGGTGGAGGTTGGGGTGTTTTTGACACTTTGGCCAAAAATGTTGCTGACCCTTGACTCATACTAATAATCATATCAAAAAACACACTATCTAGTTTCTGCAATAGTAAAAGGGGTCTTATTATTCATTTCTTAGAAAGTATATGCTGTTCTATCTATCTATTCTATCCTTCACCAGGGTAAAGACTAGTACACTTCTCTAGGTTGCTCCTCCACTCCACCAGGGTAAAGACTAGTACCCCTCTCTGGGTTGCTCCTCCATGCCCAGCTCTTGGCACTGACAGCTGCAGATAGTACTGCCTACTATCATAATGGTAGTAGACCTGGCCTGGTATGACCTGAGTTAAGCACTTTTAAAAATAAGGAACTTGAGTCCAAAAGTTACAACTACTCAGCACCTCTAGAAGATCAGAAATGAAACCTTAGGGCAAGGGTGGGCAACCCCCAGCATGGGTGCCAGATTGCGGCACTCAGAGACATATTGCTTGGTACGCACACCTCCGGGTACAGGGCAGGGAAAGGGGCAGGGCTGTGCTGCCACAAGGATTTGGCCCCTCGTGGCTCCCCCACCATCCACTCCAGTATGCCAATATCTTACAAGTTCAAGTTGTGAGTGGTTTTAGCACTCTGCCCAAAAATGGTGCTGATCCCTGACCTAGGATGTATATTATTAGTGACCCAGTCATGCAAAAAAACCTTAGGCACGTGCTTAAACTTTTCCTTTCAGTGGGATTACTCAAGGTGCATAGAGGGAAGGAATTTACTTATATTCTTATATCCAGGAAGAGCACACATCAAGTGCAGATGCTTCCTCAGCCCGATGGAGGGTATCTGTACCCAAAAGCTTGCTAAGAATTTTTCCAGCTATCTGAGTTGGTCTAATAAAAGACATCAGATTCACCCAATGAACCTTGTCTGCCTATGTCCTTAGACCAACATGGCTACAGCCTAGACCCCTTCCTAAAGCAAAGGAGCTTTCCAAGGTTCAGCCTATTTTCTATTAAAATAAAAAAGGTATTACAACAACAAGCTACCTCGGCAGGTTCTTTTGCTTGCTGCGACCTCAGCTTTCTTTCCAAGCCAAACAGTTGAAGCTTCAGATACTGATATTCTTTCTTTAATTGCAAAATGACTTCTTGCGCTTCTTTCAGTTTGGTCTTTTCCTCTTGCAATGCCAGAGCCAATGCTCGGTTATTCTCTTGGATGCTTTTGAGTTGCGCAGAACTGCTGGCTGCAAGAAAACAAAGGAGGTTTAGGCAGGACATCAACAAAGCCAACAGCCGTGCTTGGAAACTAAACGTTACAACATCTTTACTTGCTCCTTTGTGCTTTGTGGACAGGATCGGATTCGCTTTCCCCAGCTTCATCCACTTCTGATTTCTTTTCTCTTTCATTCTCTCCTTTATGTCCTCCAGGCTGTCCTTGAAGGATTTTTTCAAACTCTCTTTCCCAGCCATGGCCTAGCTAAAGAAACAAAGAAGTAGTTAAATAGCACGCCGAGGCAGGCAGAGATTTCAAACAAGAGCCACTGCGAAACAAAGTAGGACGTACTCTTTAAAGAAGCCCCACAACGCTTCAGGGAGAACAGACCTTGACAGCAGCTTGGCCACACAGGCGGCTTTCAGGGATTGCTGCTCGGGCCGTGGGCGAGGCCTGGGCCGTGAGCAGCGCCGCCCCTCCCCCAGCTCACCGGGTTCCGGGATGCTCGGCGCAACGGCGGGGCGCGAGCTGACACCTCGCGACAGTTGGCTGCTCTCTCAGAATTCGAAATTTTCCGCCGCGCCTTCCCATTGGTCGACAGGCTCACGTGATCCGGCAGCCGTGACGTCGCCCAGTGACAAACCCCGGTGGGGGGAGAGGGCGGGGCAGGCAAGGAGCAAAGTTGTTATTTACCATCCGGGTCTTTCTGCTCAAGCCCCGCCCCACCCCGCGCCTTCCTCGGCCCATCGGTGCTGCCGGGTGGGGGGGCCTAGGCACCGTGCGCCTGCGCAAAGGGGCCGCCCCCGAGGCGCCGGTGGCTAAGTTTATTTAGCCCCATCCGCGCGCATGGCTCCACCCCTCGTGGCTTCCGTGCAGTGGACCGTCTCACTGCGTGCCACTGGGCGCCCCGCTGACGGGTCCGGCACGTGTGCACCTGTGGCTTCACTCTTGCGTGATGCATATGGACACAACTGTCTTACACAGACGTGTGGCTGTACCGTTCGTGGTCTCTCTCTCTCTCACACACACACCCTTTACCCTTGCCTATGCTGTATGCACACATGTACCTGGCTTTTTTGCTTGTCACATGTGCACACCCATATGCACATGGCCTTTGCCTGTCACATACACATGCATGTGTGCACACACACGGCTTTACCTTTGCCTGTCACACAAACTTACACATATGGGGCTTTACCTTTGCCTTTCATGCGTGCACGTACACGCACACACTCACAGCTTTACCCTTGTCTATCACTATCACACACAAGTGTGGCTTTACCTTTGCTCGTCACACACATGCATGCACACACAGCTTTACCCTTGCCTATCACACGTGTGCATGTGCACACACCCCTGGCACCTCCCCCCGGGGGTCTTGCTTGTCTCACACACACACACACACACGCGCGACTTTTCTCTTGCCTATCACACGTGCATGCACACATGTACCTGGCTTTCTTGTCATTTGCACACATGTATGTGGCCTTTGCCTGTCACCTACAAATGCATGTGTGCACACACATGGCTTTACCCTTGGCAATCACATGCACGGGCAAGTGGCTTTACCTTTGCCTGTTGCATGCATACATGGCCCTGCTGAATCCCTCTCTTCCACAGCGTCTGCCACAGTATGAGAGTAAACCCATGCTGAACACCTAACTCTGATGTCCAGTAGCCAAGAGTTGCTGGGATCCCTGGAGCAGGCTGAGCTAGCCTTTGGCGGTGCCCAGGGCAGAGGCAAAGGGAAGAGCTTTGTGTTGCTTCTCTGGTAAGGTTCTTTTAAATGTAATGTTCTGGGATTTGGGGTGGGTGTTTGGGGGGTTATGCATGTTTTGGGACAGCCAGGACCTCTCTGTAAAGATTTGGGGGGGTGCAGGCTTGGAAGTAGCATTGTGATCCCACTCCCCTGGGGATGAGGCAGGGGAGTGGGAGTGGATGGGGGAAGCAGGAAGTGGAGTATTGTATCTGGATGTAAACAGCAATTGGGAAGCAGGGCTGGCTTCTGTGGGCGTTAGGCAGGGAGGCTGTAGTTAGGGCTGGGGTGGATGTGATTTTTCAAGTGTCAGCCTGTGGTTTGGGGAGTGAATTGTTATTACCTAGTTGTGGGTTGTCTGTTCATTTTAAGCTCCTCTGAGCCTTTTGAATAGGGCAGGACAGATACCTAAATAATAGCCAGGGATTCTGTTTTCTCTGGTTTAGAAATTACAGATTTTCTGATAAAAATGCAAACGTTCCAATTTAAAAACCCCAAATCTGTGACTAAAATGAAACACCTCTCTCTCTCTCTCTCTCTCGATATAGATATATATTTATATCGAGAGAGACAGAGAGAGGAGGGGAGTATCAATTGAACACAATGCCTTATTGATATATTCACAGTTTTAAAGCAATTTGGAAGCCCACCAGTGCCTCAATCACTATAATAAAATAAATATTAAGTACCGTACCCAGGACCATCCCTGGGGGGGTGCTAATTGGGGCGACTGCTCTGGGCCCTGCACTTTAGGAGGCCCTGCGGAGCCAGGCAGAGTGATGCGGTGACTCCGTGCTGCCGCTGGCTTTGTGTCTGGCTGCTCAGCAACCCCCAGCTGCCGAATCTGCCGGCAGCTTCCTCGCGTCTGGGGTGGGGGGCCCACATAGGCTGATTTGCCTTGGGCCCCATAACCTGCTCGGGTCATCTCTGACAGTATACATTTTGACATTTGATTTTTGTTTTTTTATCATAGAAAATCAGAGCTAGCCCTGCTCCCTTCACTCACCAGGAAGCAGGCCCATGTGCCTGACTCCCAGGCCACAGCCACCATGTGTTACTGGTGCCTCCTGAATCTGGGGGGACACCCGTAGAAGCCGGTGGTCCTGTCAGGGGGAGCACCAGCCCTACCGACAGTATCAGTGTCAATCGTCAGGGGGGCACCAGCCTCATCTGGGGGCACATGCACCCCCTACCAGTCGCCTACTATGACAGCCCCCCAGCCCAGAGGGTGCCCCTCACTCTCCGCCACAGCCCTTGCCCCCCCATACCCTGCTGGAGGGGACACCAGCTGCCAGGGCTACAGGGCCAGGAACCCAAGTCTGCAGCCCCTTGCCTCTTCCAGCAGTGCCGGAGCCTCAGCTGCCACCCACAGGTGATGACAGCTGCTGTGACTGAGCGGAGTGTGGAGCCCAGCTCCACCTTCCCCACGGGTGGCATGGCCAGAGTAGACTCCATGGTGGGGCGGGTGTAGGCTGCCCATTGTGAGCTTGGGATCCCTGCCCTGCTGCCCTCCCCCTGGGGCCTTCACAGCCCAGCGGGTGGGACCCAGCATGACAGGCCAGAGTGGGGCTGGCTGGGGAAGCTAGGTGCCACCACCACAAGCCCTGCCCACCTGGCAGCAGCAGGGGTGGCAGCGCAGTATTGTGCCCCTCACTGCTGCCAGGTGAGCAGGGGGTGCTTTGCCAGGGCAACGCAGGGCTCCCAGTAGCAAGGAGCTTCCCTGCCTGGCTGCACTTTGCACGGCTGCCCGCAGTCCCAGCCACTGGGTTGCAAAGACCCCAGGAGGAGGGCAGCAGGATGGGGAGCCTGAGCCCACAGCAGGTAGTCTGCTCCTGCCCTCACCCCCCAAGCACAGATCTGGGGGGCACGTGCCTACCCTGCCCCTCTCCTGTGAGTGTGTGCAGTGGTGGGGAGCCAGGCCCACAACCCTGGATGAGCTGCCCGCAGCTCTGTCCTGTTCCCTGCCCAGGCTGTGTGGCTGAGCATTTCAGCCCTGGGTCCCAAGCCCCGTGCACCACTCTGGCTGAGCAGCAGTCCCCAGTCCTAGCCCCAGCCCCGCTCAACTCCCTCCCTCCCTTCTTAATGCAGGGGGGCCTCAATTCTTCCGCCAGACTTACCTGCAGGGAGCTGCTTTCCTTGGTGCCTGGCAGTCCTGTCCATGTATAAGTGCATACATGCACAGGATGCCCCCTGCCTGACCACCCTCTCCCACTCCCAGCCTGCAGATAGCTCTCTGCAGAAGCGGAAAATCTGTGCATTTCTCTGTTAAAATGAAAAATCTGTGTTTTTTCTTGCTTAAAAAGGGAAATCTAAATGTTTTTTCTGTGGGAAACAGAAAACTCAGATCCTGATAATAAGACTCATTAAGTCTTGATAGTTTCCCAAATAAAACCATGGAAGTGCTTCTGAATGCGACCTTCCTTCAGTGTCACCACTGATGCAGGGTTTGAATTAATTAAAAACCAAAAAAGTTCTGGGGTAGAAGCAGGTTGAAGAATTACTTACATTAGCAGACAGTACCAGGGCTGGTTCATTGAGCATGAGGAGTTTAAGTGAAGACCTATTATTTATACAACTAGTTGTCTTTTTTGTCAGTCCTTTGCAGTTGAGGATGATTGTCTTCCATGATTGTCGTATCTGTGTGTCTGAAGATGGCTGATGAGGCCTATCCGGGACCGACTGCACTAACAGAGAGACTATACTGCAGCTCAGACATGTGTTTCTGTGTGTAGTGGGTGGTGCTGGATTGCTGATTTGGCCCATGCCATGATGCTGTTTCTGCTGCTGCTGCTTTTCCATATCCTGTTGTTGTTGTGAGATTTCATAGTACTTAGATCCTTGCAGCAGACTCTTCCTCCATTTGGGGCAGTTCTGGGTGATAGTCTCCCACGAGTTGATGTTGCATTTTTTTTCTTAAAGTTGACCATGAGGAAGTCCCTGAAGTGCTTTCTCTGTCCTCCTCTTGAGCATACGCCTTGGCTGAGCTGGGAGAATAAAACTTGTTTTGGGAGTCTGGAGTTAGGCATCCAGATGACATGACTGGGCCAATGAAGTTGATGTCAGATTATCACCACCACAGTACTTGTGGTGTTTCCTTTCTTGAAAATTGTCACAATCATGGCATCTCTGAAGTCATTTGGGATGTCCTCATCATTCCAGATCCTTAAGATAAGGACATGAAGCTGTGATGCAAGCTCCTGTCCCAGCTGCTTGAAGGTTTCAGCAGAGATTCCATCTGCTCCAAATGCCTTGTCATTCTTCATCTGCTTGATGGCTTTCTTCACGTTGTTGGAAGGACCCTAAGATCTTCTCTGACTGGGTGTCATGGGATGGAGTTGAGAGCAGCAGAGTCTGTTAATATATCCTGTTAACAGCAGAGTGTCAAATGAGAAGGTCTTCAAAATGCTCCTTCATTGATGGCTCAGGCATTGCTGGCTTCCCTTTCCTTTATCAGGTCTCCTCCATCCTTAGGTCTCCAGGGGTTTGGTCCCTGAGTGCTTGATCTGTAGAATGCTTCAGTGGCATTGAAGAAACCACACATTATGGATGTCAGTGAGATGCTGATTCTCCCTTACCCTTGTCTTCCCACCATTTGTTCTTCATGTTTGAAGGTCCTCTTTTGGACCTCGGCCTTGTCGGAGATTCAGTTTCTTTTGCTTGCAGTTGGTGTTGTTTTGCCAAGCACAAAAGGCCTCGTGCTTGTGAT